ATAAATCAAAATAATTATTAAAAAAAAAAAGTTTATTTTGCTTTCTATTTTTTTGACTTTTAGTTCTTATTGGTCTCACTTTTTTTTGATTTTTCGGCTTCTCTTGTTGTCCTTGCGTAATTCTAATGAATCTTTCTACTTCTTTCATTCTTCCGGCGATTATGGTTTTGGCTTCTCTTGACCTTTTTTGTGGTATATATGTTTTTTTTTTTTTTTTATATTTTCTTTTTTTTTTTGGTACTTACTGATTTCTCTTTTTTTTGATTGTGGTAAATCTTTCGGCTTCTCTTGTGGTCCTTGCATAATTCTAATGGATCTTTCTACTTCTTTCATTCTTTTGACGATTATAGTTTTGGCTTCTCTTGACCTTCTTTGTGATATATATGTTTCTTTTTTTTTTTTATGTTTTCTTTTTTTTTTTTGATACTTACTGATTTTTCTTTTTTTCAATTGTGGTGAATCTTTCAGCTTCTTTTGTGGTCCTTGCATAATTCTAATGGATCTTTCTACTTCTTTCATTCTTTTGGCGATTATGGTTTTGGCTTCTCTTGACCTTCTTGGTGGTATATATGTTTTTTTTTTTTTTTTATAGTTTCTTTTTTTTTTTTTAGTACTTACTGATTTCTCTTTTTTTCGATTGTGGTGAATCTTTCGGCTTTTCTTGTGGTCCTTGCGTAATTCTAATGAATCTTTCTACTTCTTTCATTCTTCTGGTGATTATAGTTTTGGCTTTTATTGACCTTCTTTATGGTATGTATGTTTTTTTTTTTTTTTTATGTTTTTTTTTTTTGGATCTTTCAGCTTCTCTTGTGGTCCTTACATAATTCTAATAGATCTTTCTACTTCTTTCATTCTTCTGGCGATTATGGTTTTGGCTTCCCTTGACCTTCTTTGTAGTATGTATGTTTCTTTTTTTTTTCTATATTTTCTTTTTTTTTTCTTTATTTTTGGTACTTACTGATTTCTCTTTTTTTCGATTGTGGTAAATCTTTCAGCTTCTCTTGTGGTCCTTGCATAATTCTAATAGATCTTTCTACTTCTTTCATTCTTCCGACAATTATGGTTTTGACTTCTCTTGACCTTCTTTGTGGTATGTATATTTTTTTTTTTTTCTATGTTTTCTTTTTTTTTTCTTTATTTTTGGTACTTACTGATTTCTCTTTTTTTCAATTGTGGTGAATCTTTCGGCTTCTCTTGTGGTCCTTGCATAATTCTAATGGATCTTTTTACTTCTTTCATTCTTCCAATGATTATGGTTTTGGCTTCCCTTGATCTTCTTTGTGGTATATATATATATTTTTTTTTTTTTTATTTTTGGTACTTACTGATTTTTCTTTTTTTTAATTGTGGTGAATCTTTCAGCTTTTCATGGTCCTTGCGTAATTCTAATAGATCTTTATCCTTTCGTCCTTTTGTTGATCCATCATTTTCAATTAATTTATTTTGATTTGTAAAAACCATAATCACTAGATGGTAACAATGATAAAAGTATTTCATAAGCATCAATTGAAATCAAAATTTTATTTAATCTTAAGCATCAACACAATCATAAATTAATCACATTGAGGAAGTCTTCAATTATACTATCATGCATATTAGAGGTCTGCAAGAGCCAGGCCGAAATTTAAAATTTTTAAAAACTTCAAAATTGCGGGCCTGGTCAAAAACATAGTAGAATGCAGGCTGAACCCTTAAAAAACACATTATATTTTATTTTGCAGAACATGTAGGCTGGCAAAAGTCCAAATTTTTTGGACCATGCAGGTCTCTAATGTATACTATTGGTCTACTAACAACGGTCTAAATAAATATCGCTATAGTAGTTGAGCTCTATCTCAATCACTAACTAATCACATCAAGCCTTGCTGCCTGAGAACACTCTGAATCTATTAAGGCTTAGTATGTATGTACATACATGTTGTAAGTAAGAATGGAATCTAAGTGGATTTGAAATTTCCTAGTTAAATTAGGGTTAGGGTGATTAGTATTATTTATTTCCTGAGAGCTTAAAAATTACAATAAAGATTTCCAATGATCATAAGATACAGATGGCCCGAAGGGCCATCTGCATCATATGATCATCGGGAATTCTCTGTTGTAATTTTAAACTTCTCACAGGAAATAAATGAATAATATCCTGCCTTACGTTGTTCATGCCTACCTTTATTATAATTTTCATGTGATTATTTGTGACCGGGAATCTTCCCATGGAAGATTCCTGATCATGATATGATTGCACGGGAAATTATAATGAAGGTAGGCATGAATAACAAATAGTAAGGCAGGGTATTATATAATAAAATCAACCCCAAAAACGGGGTTTATATTTAAATTCCAAATCCACTTAAATTCTGTTTCCACTTACAATATAAATAAGCAGCACTTAAAGAATTTAACAACTCTTGGACAGGATAATTAATGGTAACTCATTAGTAAATTACCACAGTGAATTAGTGGTTTATTCAAATTACTATGGTAAATCAGTGGTTTATTCAAATTCAAAGAGTTTTTTGTATGAAATAAATAAACCTTTAACAATATAATATTAATAATACATATTTGAGCAAATGAAAAGCAATTGCGCACTAACTGAACTTGTATAAAAGATGTATTAATTCGAATCGTTGCTCTGAAATAACCAAATAAATAAATGAATTGGAGATTAAAAAATATATATTGTATATTTATGAAAATTGAAATAAGTTCCAAATTTTTAAGTAGAAAATAATTGAACAAAGTATGTGATAGGATTTTACAACACTAAGCCACTGCTTACAGTACCCAAAAATAAGATCTTACCACATAAAACACCCTTCTTCACCATTGAGATTGCTGGATTCATAAATACTGTACAAGTCACTCTCGTTATATAGAAGTGATCAGGCTATGAGATTTCCTTCACTATATCGAGAATCTATTAATAAATTGACTATATCGGAAGGGTTTTTATATAATTGTTCTTCACTATAACAAGAGGTTTACTATAATGAGAGTTCACTATAATGAGAGTGACTTGTAGTACCCGGAGCTATTCAATTTATAAACGAAGTTCTTGAATAAGACCCTGGGTACTGTAAGCAGTGGCAACAGTAAAACGTAGTGACCAATGCGAATCTTGTGCAGTATCAATATAGTATATAGGTGGAAATCTTCAATTTTGGTGATTAGTTGAATTGAATGATGAGATTAAATAAAACTTGAGCCAATAAAATATATGAGATAGAGTGATTACTGAGATTAAAAGTGATTATTTGCCAGTTATTATAAAATTATTATAAATTGCTTATGAGTTAATTATCAGTTGCTTATCAGTTTTTATATACTGTTCTCAAAACAAATTAGCCAAAATAACCAAAACAACCCACATATTGGTGGTGTTTTAATTTTGATTATTCTAATTTTCATAATCACCACAACATTCCATTAAAAATTTTCACCCATATGAGAACTTCATCAGATCAACATTAATTTTTGTCAACAAGAAATGATGCTGAGCATTATATTTGAATAAGTCAGTTAAATAATTAGATATGTTACCAATTTGTCAAATTAAATTATTTTAAATCCACTTACCAAATGAATGCACCAAGAGAAACCTGTCATCAGGCTTTCAATTTATTTTGTATTTGAAACAATCTATCTAATTTGTTAGAAATTGTGTCCAATACAAAATATAATTGAAAGTCCGATAGTAGGTTTTTCTTGGCGACACTCAAATAAAAATTGAATTCTTTAAGCGAATTTATTTAGAATTCCATCACAATATGTATTGATTTGAAACTTATAAGATTCTGTTTCAACATATAACAAATATAAACTTACAATTCACTAGAAATGCCAACATAAGACAAAACAAAAAATCTTCAATATTTTAATTTCTAGTCTGATCGATTTGTCATAACATCGACAAACTATCTTGACTTTTATAAGTGCACCTAAAAACACTAAGCCCTATGCAAAAGAAAAAAAAAAGTTCTTGTAAGTTAACTACTATATTAACAGAAAGAAATTCTAATGGTTAAAATTATCAAGAAAATAGCTGATATTGTAATTATACACATATAGTAAATCTTTCTATAATGAACTGAAGATTCTGAAAAAAAAGAAGTTCGTTATAGAAAATTATTATGTTTCTTAAGAACCCATGGCACTTTTTATACTGAACTATTATGAAATTCAAATTTTGAGTTCGTTTTATCCAGAGTTCGAAAAGGAAGGTTCGTTATATCCAGAATTAACTGTAGAAATAGTTTTATCGTTACTAATTTCAAAAACTCGTGCAACATTAAAAAACAAAAAGAATTAATGTAGATTCTTACCCTCAATTATAATCCTGAGTTATTGATTAAGCAGGCAACTTGTAATAGGAACTATCTAGCTTCTGCTTCTGTTCAACATTACCGTAAAAAATGGTTATAACATTTGTAAAGTTGAAATTTATACCTTGCAAGACCAACAGTTCCAATAAACATTCAAATCTCTGTATGATTCATCATTTGGATTACATTTTATTCATAATTGATTGGACTACAATATCTTCATTTCAACTTGCTGAAAAAAATATCAATATAATCAGAATTACATCTATAGTCAACTTTACTTATAACAAACCTTGGATGAAAATTTTCAAAACATTTCTTATTTAGGCCATGCAAATTAAATTATTTGGATCTTGTTACATAGGAGAGGCAAATAGGACAAGCCGGCCAGCAAAAAATGTTATATTTAAATTTTTTTTTAATTTTTATAAAAAGTTACTCGCCAGGTAACAAGAACCAATTTTATTTGTTTGCACGGCTTTAGTATGTTATACCGAACTCTGATAATTTTGTTAAAAAAAAGTTCATTATATCCAGAGCTAACTGTATAATAAAAACATTATTTTGTAATATACCATCAAATAAAGCTCTTTTTTGAAAGAATTTAGTTACTAATACAATCTTAATTTTTTTTTTAGTTCACATCTCTACTCCTACTAATCCATGAAAAAAAAAATTTTCATTTTAAATTTTAATGTAACAATTTTATGTAAGTTAAAATTTTGTATTACATACATGCATTATCAAACAATTGATCAAGATAAAAATTTTATCTACTAAATACACAATTAAAAGAAAAAGAAGTTTAAGCCATCCAGTCACAAAGTGCAATTGCTTTCTGTATGGTCTCTGGATTTAGCGATCCACATTTTACGGTATCTATATCTGAACCTTTAGAAAAAAGTCTTTCGGAGGGTGCACTTGTTGCTGGTATGGCAAGATAGTCATGTGCCATACTTGCTAATATTGGAAATTGTTCAGTATGCAAGTGCTACCATTGATATATATTCATTTTAGGATGTACTGTAGGACTGTTCAAGTACAAACTAATTTCATTCGTAGAATTGTAAAGTTTTTTATAAACATGGTCAAGAGGATTACTATCAGAAATATTACTAACTATATAATTATCTTTATACTGGTTATATACATCATTTAGGCTTTCAGTTGCCTAAGTAATCTATTCATCGTCCCAACTTTCTACTTCATAATATGCTTTCTTAAACCTTGGATCAAGTAAGATTGTTACAGCATATGCAGAACCACCACTTTTTGTATAATAGACGATCAATTTCTTAATTGCTTGCTCGATAGCCTCATGAATTATGGTTGAATATTCATCTTGCATATCTTCAAGATCATTCATAATTTGGTTATAGGCTGGTATAACAAGAGACATCGTGACATACGTTTTACTACACAGTACTTCAGACATATCGTGAAGATTTTAAAGGTAAAGACACCTCTTTTAACATATTCCATTCGCTTTCCGAAAGACCAAAATTATTTAATTTTCAAACTTCACTAACCATTCTATCAATGGCTGGTGACATAACGATAGCCTGTTCAATCATATTAAGTGTAGAATTCCACTGGGTCTTTGAGTCGAGAATTGGACTTTTATATTGTATATTAAGAGATTCACATAGTTCGCTTAACTTGTTACAATTCTGGGGCGAAGATTGAATTTTAACAATTAATGATTGAAGTTTTTTTATGGTTGGGGTTGAGGCCGAGGTTTGGGAGGTGGTAGGTTGGTCTAGGATATGAAGCTCATCTTCATCTTGGTCTGGTGGCTCTGAGTGTAGATGGTGCAAAAAGGCTTGTAAGGCAAGATTAATAACATGAGCCATGCAACGAACATGGCCATGTTGCTTAATAAAGAAGCTACTAATGCTTTTACACTTAGCTTCAAATGCCTCAAGTAATGTATCATTACTTGAGGCATTATCGATGATTATTCCTAAAACTTTATTAATAACACCAAACTCGTTACAAATATTAATTAAAGTATTTGATATATTGACTTCAGTATGTGCCCTATCGAAAGGTACAAGATCGAGAATTTGCAACTCAACCTCCCAATTACTATTGATCCAGTAAGCTGTCACACCCAGAAAGGTCTTACAACTCTTACTTGTCCAAAGGTTGACGGTAAGAAAAACCTTACTTGAGTTATCCATTAGAGTGTTTTGTAGGAAGGTTTTTAGTTCTGAGTATTGTTTTAACAAATCTCTTTTAACCGTAGTAGCAGAGGAAACTTCAACATCACCCAAGACTTTAATTAATCTAACCAATTCCCGGAAGCTTTCCGATTCGATGATTGTAAAGGGAAGACCTTCTGTCGCAATCTACTTAACCAGTGCTTCCCTAAAAATGCTTTCATTTGACTGAAAAACTATAGTTGCAAGATTTTCAGTACTAACTGCCTTGGAGATGTTGATTTGATGAACGTTAGAAAGATGATTACGCAAGCTGGTAGTGCTACCACGGGTTATAATAAGATAGTTGTCATGGGCATACAGACTGCATTTGGCCTTTTGCTTGCCATCTTCTTCAAAGGGTGGTTCAAAAAATAACCATACTGGTGCCTTTTTTTGAGTTGGCACACAAGTACGACTGGTAAATGCCATTTTTTAAATAGAATAATTTTTGGTATAATAAATTTATAAGTTTTTATGTTTGAAGATATTATCTTATTTAATAAATAAGTTGCAGGTCTTTTTTCCCTATTTATATTTATCTTTTACTTTAATTGCACTAATGATTTCTTTGCGCATAACTATCATGCATAAAGTTCGCACATAACGATTATGAACAAAGATCACACATTGAGATCACACATTGAGATCACGCATAGCGATCACGCATTGAATTTAATTGATGAGATGTTAGAGAATTGAAAAAAAATTAGACCATTCATGACTCTCATAAAGTTTTTAAAAAATGACTTGACAACCTGGTTATGAATTTTATTTCAAAAAATTTAATTATACATAAAAAGTATATAAAAGTATTAAGAAAAGCCTACCCTACTAGTAAATATAATTGAAATTAAACCATCCACTTTTATTTATTATTATTTTTTTTTTTAATTTCTGCATAATAAAATAAACAGTTTCATTACATAAAAAAACTATGTGAGGCCAAAAAAAAAAAATCCGAAGAAATGAGAAAATTCATCAAAATTACTACAAAGACCACTGGAGAAATCAAAAATATTCACTATAATCGACAGAAGAATCACAATAGAGGTCAAAAAGATTCACCATAATCGCCAATAGAATTACAAAAGACCAGTAAGAACCAATGATTCAAAAAAAAAAAAAAAAAAAAAAAAAGAGAAAACATACATACTCAATTCAAAAGAAGCCAGAAAGAACCATATGAAAGGTCAAAAAACACCACAATTGCTGAAAAAATATGAAAGAACCAGAAGGAAAGCTAAAACCATAATCGCCGGAAGAATGAAAGAAGTAGAAAAATCTATTAGAATTATGCAAAGACTACAAGAGAAGCCGAAAGATTCACCACAATCGAAAAAAAGAGAAATCAGTAAGTACCAAAAATAAAGAAAAAAAAAAGAAAACATAGAAAAAAAAAAGAAATATACATATCACAAAGAAGGTCAAGGGAAGCCAAAACTATAATTGCTAGAAGAATGAAAGAAGTAGAAGGATCCATTAGAATTACGCAAGGACCACAAGGGAAGCCGAAAGATTCACCACAATCGAAAAAAAGAAAAATCAGTAAGCACTAAAAATAAAAAAAAAAAAAAAAGAAATATAAAAAAAAAAAAGAAACATATATACCACAAAGAAGGTCAAGGGAAGCCAAAACCATAATTACCAAAAGAATAAAAGAAGTAGAAAGATCCATTAGAATTACGCAAGGACCACAAGAGAAGCCGAAAGATTTACTACAATCGAAAAAAAGAGAAATCAGTAAGTACCAAAAAAAAAATATATATATATATATATAAAAAAAACATATATACCACAAAGAAGGTCAAGAGAAGCCAAAACCATAATCGCCAGAAGAATGAAAGAAGTAGAAAGATCCATTAGAATTACGCAAGAACAACAAGAAAAGCCGAAAGATCGAAAAAAAGAGAGACCAATAAGAACTAAAAGTCAAAAAAATAGAAAGCAAAATAAACTTTTTTTTTTTAATAATTATTTTGATTTATTCGGTACAATAATAGAGTTAAATAGTAGATCGGTGTTATATTTGTTATGTATGTGTTACATATATCGTTAGATTTACTAAAAATAACTAAATAATTTAAGATCCGATTTGTACTCCAATTAGATGCGCAAACTCGATAATCGAGTTTTTATTCGATTTTGGCGAGCACTAATCATCCTTTTGGGTATTTTGACTCTTTGTAGAGCTAGTTCCAGGCTTTTGAGCAGAACTGAGTCAAACACCTTTTTCATATCTTGCAGGAGTATCTACACCTCTTTATTCTTTTCTTTTGCTTCTTCCATTATCATGTTTAGGACATAAACTGGTTGTTCTATTGAGTTTCCTAGTAGGTTTGCATAGTTTGGTCCTTTAAGTATTTCTCTCTCCGTGAATCTTTTGCTAAGTCTTTTTGTTATTAACTTTGTTACAACCTTTCTGAATGTTTCAATTAAGGCTATTGGACGAATATTATTTAAACTGTACCTCCATCCTATGTCTTTTGGTATTGGATATACTTGTACTATTTTCCACTTCATTGGTATCTCTTCTATCTCTAAGCACAAATTTGCATAGGCCCTAAATATCTCTTGAGTTTTCCTTCCTGCTCGTTTGATTAAGGTGTAACTTATTCCTGATATTCCAGGAGCTGTTCCTGTCTTAAGTTCCTTAATTATCTCATCCCATTCCTCTTCTTCAATTTTCTTTTCGATTTCTTTATATCATTCTTCTTTAATGTAGTTTTGTGGTTTATAAATTTCTCTCCAGCTTTCTGACATCTCTTTTAGTTTTGTATTTCTTTTCCTAAACTGTTTCTTGTAGTGTTCTACTGTTGCTTCTTTAATCAGCTCTGCTTCTGTTACTA